CTCTTTCTCTACTTTTTTTTTTGGTTTCAGCAGAGGAGTTTTCAGTATCTGTCTCTGCTCGCCTGCCCCCAAACCGGAAGCAATTTTCATCCTTTTTAACTGGCTATTTGATGTCATGGAGTCCTGCTAGTATAGCGGGTTACAAGTTAGGCTGCTACCCACCAGGTTAGCAGTTCAAATCTACCAGCCACTCCATAGGAGAAAGATAAGACTTTCTACTCCCATAAAGATTTATAGTCTCAGAAACCCTATGTGGATCGCTATGAGTCAGAATGGACTCAATGGCACACCACTACCATTTGATGCCATAACGTTGCAGTTTGGGAACAGGTGCACTTGTGTCCTCAAATATCAACATTATGAAGATTTTCACTGAATACAAATATGGTAATTATACATCAATGTATTCAATGATCTCATCCTACCTCTCCCCACTCCTACCCCCCCCAAAAAAGAGAAAGAAATACAATGAAAAGACCTATTTGCAATTAAATAGATTGAAAAATCTATTTATCTTCCATTTGGATTGGGCTGAGCAGATCCTTCATCCCATTAGTAACTCACTCGTTTGTATCAAAGAAACAAATATGAAACACTTGATTTGAATGATAAGCCATCTTATTTTTTTCCCCCTTTGACTGAGCATGACTGACAAGAAGGTCTCCTCACTAGCACTAAAGCCAGGAATAATGAGAGTATGAAGACAGAACTCATGAATAATTCATGAGGCCACATGTTTTAAGTGAAAGTGCTTTCCTCATCTGTAAGCAATCGCTTGATGCTCTCATTTGTTCTCTTCTATTGTTCTCTGCTTTTAAGAAGGAAGATATGAAATCATATTTGGAACAGTTCAGAGGGGAAATGTCATTCAGGTTGAAGGATTCCTTCTCTCCTGAACATTCCATCCTCTTTCAACCTCCTGATACTTTCTATTACTTTCTTGGCCCATGTGTAGGAGCTACTTTTAGTAGGAGTGAGACATGGATCTCAAACAGGGAGATTCATTGAATTACTTTTACGTTAAATCCCTGGTTCACTTGGCCAACTCTCTAATCCTGGGAGAGAACAAGAAGCTTCTGTCCTTGAGGAAAGTCAGGGGGTCTTTAGAATGTATATCTCACAGCCCAAACTTTTTCCAATTTGGCATTTTGGGTGGTCCCTTGCCAATCACCAGCTCCTGACCACCCATTCTAAAGTGTCTGCTGTTTGGAATGGAAGTGTCAGGCAGCCTTTCTATTTAGAAGAGATCCTACTGGAAAAACTGACCAATTTGCATAATCAGAGAAGAAATCCATGCCAAATGTCTATAATAATCTATCTACTATTCACAAATATGAGAATTCAGACAAAAAAACTATAAACAGGATAAAAGAGAAAGAGTAAAGATAAACAAAGGCAACCACTCACCACAGATCAGAAAACTGAGGACAACTTTTAAAACTGCTAATCAGAGCCTCAGAGGAATTTGAAAAGATACAGCATGTTTAATACAAGAAGATTATTACTTGAAAAAGGAAGAAACTTAGGAAAAGAGGTATGTCTTCAATGAAAAAGCATATCGATAAAATTAAGAAAAAAGGTCACAAAAGAGCTATAAGATGAGTTTAGGAAATCTCCAAAAACAAAGGTGAAAAAAAATAAAGAGCCTAAGAATTAAAAAAGAAAATGTAAAAGATAGATGATTAATTCAGAGTATAGAAATTCTGAATAAAATATGTTTAAAAGAAGTGATTTGTGAAATTAATAATTCAAGGAAAAATACACAGACAAACAGGAAAATATGTGAGAGTCGATGAATGGTCCACATCTAAACAGATTCTTAAGAAAATAGAAATTATCCATGTTAAAAAGGTCTCTTCAGGAAGGATGTGGGGAGCTCATAGCAAATAAATGTCAGTCTGATGTACTATTTCTCACCAGGAACGTTGATCTACAAGATAGCTGTGCACCCTTTTAAAAATACCAAGGAAAAGTAATGTTAAGTTTAGAACTATCTGCCTAGCCAAATTATTAAAGTAACTTGAGAACCTTTGAAAGTATCCCCAAATGTGCAAGTATTCATTAAGTTTATCTCTCACATACTGTTTAAAAGGATGTTGCTTGTAGGTGCATTCTATCTAACTAAGGAGAATAAAGCAAGAAACAGACACAGATGTTGGAAAGAGTGGATCTACCAAGAAGAGCCCAAACAATGTCAAGATGGCAGTTGTGTAGTCAAGGAAGGAAGTCCACAGAGGTGACTCCAGAAATAATTTTCTGGAAAAAAAGTGGCGTCCATTTTATAGATACTATGAATGAGAGACTAAATATTTTAGCAAATATGCTATAGTTTAATTTATGAATTTATATTGTAATCATCTTCCTTATAAGGATAAAAAATGATCTCAGGTTCATAAATGAAAAGAACTTTAAGTGAGTTCACTGATGTGAATGAATTGACATCCCACCTAAAAAAGGAGGAGGTAAAATAGAACTATGTTCTATTTGAAAATACATTTAATTTGATAACTCTGTGCTGTATATAACGGCTACAGTAAGACACACTGCTTCCTCTTAGAGTTTCTTAGGCATTTGTTTGAATGAATGGCCCATCAACCTTAAGAAAATGAATATTGGGAGTATTTCTATTAGTAACATTGTACTTTTCTTCCTAATCTTTTTTTTTTTTTTTTACCAATGTATTTATTAAATCTTCCCTTTATAATAGGGAAGCACATTTCAGCAATTTATTCTTCAATGTTGAGAAATCACTAATTAATGAATCTTTACCTTGTGAAGTTTCATTTTCATATAGTAAATTTAGTTCTTATTGCCTTTACATAAAACTGTGTATACACTGGCAATTTTTAGTATCATTTTCCACAGGTTTTATAAAATACTATTGTTTTCTATGAAAAGTCTGTGAGTAGCTTCTAAGTCTTCCTAGAATTAAGTTTCCCAGGAAAGTGGAAACAAATGAGGGACCTTCAAAACGTTAGTGGAAAACTAGAATGAAAAGATAATGGAATATTTTTTTGAATGTTTTGAAGCCCTCTTGCATTAGACAACCACCTCTCCAGATCTGGAAAATCTGAACAATTACTGATCAAATTTGACTGATTAAACTTTTGGGATTGAAAATATATCACACAGTAAAGAAGAAACAATGGTTGTTGTCTTTCTTTTTCTCCTTTCCTTCATATCCTTACCTATCTCCCTTTCTCCTTTCTTTTACCTTTTCCTTCCAAGATGTGGGGCAGACCAAAACTTATAAATTATCCTGTAATCAGTGGCAAAAAAACAACAACAACTATGTTATACCCCCAAAATTTAAAATCACCAACATTTTGGTTTGTGATCTTACAACACTGTGTATGTAATTGTATTACAGATTTTTTATACTGGATTTAAATTATTCCTTATTTTATTCTCTTCTATATTCCCAGTATTAGAATAGATTTAATCAAAACAACATATTGTATTCATCAAACCTGCTGCATAAGACCTCTTTAAAGTGTTGAAGAGCAAAGATGCCAGTTTGAGACTAAGGTGCACTTGACCCAAGCCATGGTATTTTCAATAATCTCATATGCATGTGAAAGTTGGACAATGGATAAAGAAGACTTTAGAAGAATTGATTCATTTGAGTTATGGTGTTGGAGGCGAATATCAAAAGTACCATGGACTGCCAAAAGAACAAGTAAATCTGTGTTGGAAGAAGTACAGCCAGACTGTATCTTGGAAGCCAGGATGGCCCGACTTTGTCTCTCATACAATGGACATATTATCACTCCATGGAGAAGGACATTATGCTTGGTAAAGTGGTGGGTCAGTAGAAAAGAGGAAGACCCCCAATGAGATGGATTGGCGCGCAGCAATGGGCTCAAGTGTAAACAATGATTATGAGGTTGGCATGTGACCTGGCAGTGTTTTGCTCTGTTGTGCACAGGATTGCTATGAGTTGTAATGGACTCAACAATCCCTATAACAACAACACATACAAAAGTGTACTAATGTAGAATTGAAAAGGTGGTGGGAAAACATCGACTCCTATAAATGGTGGGTGGGAATATTGTAGGAGTATATTTAAAGGCTAATTTAGGACTCTTAATTGGATGACAGATGAATGTACCCTTTGATCCAGCAATTTGTTCTGTTGTGTATAAGGTTGCTAAGAGTCAGTACTGACTCAATGGCATCTAACAACAACAGAATAGCATCAGGCACGTCATAGGCATTCAGTACATTTCTAGAATAACCTCTAAAAGGAGAGCCTGAATGCCACTGCTCAATCTGTCCTCTTCTTTCCTCTCTCCCTTCCCCTCCTTCCTCAATTCCAGACAGCCTTGCACAGAGCAGCTTCTATCGAGAAAGTGATGGATGCCATGTCGGGCCTGAAGCAGGCTCAGAAATGCCATTTGACCATGGGGATTAGATGCTTTGACAACAAAAGTGCCCTCAGAAAGGTCATTTCCACAGCACGGTCGTTCACTTGTTGAAGTCTGCTCCATCTCCCTGGTTCCTTAGGCACAGAAGCTGGGAGGGTGAACACATTCTCAGTTTAGAAGTTGACAGAATCAGAAGCCTCAGGTCTTAGTGTGTAGTGGTGGTGATAGGGAAGAAGGAGGAAATGTGATCTCACCTATAAATCTGAAATGACTCATTTAGGGGTCTTGTCTAACCTTGGATTCCAATGATTGAGAATACGAACATTGTACATTGACCTTGAGAATGAGATGTGGGCAAAACAACTAATGAGAAAGAAATCTGTCAGAAGCTCATTTCAGCCTTCATCATGGAAATGGTGGATGCTTGCATGGAGATGCTTTTGAATAGGCATCGTATTATAGCCACTGTCAGTATTGTTTTGCTGGTAATGCACTATTATCACTGTTGTTTCTGTATTCTATTTTAAAAATTAATATTTTTTGTGTGCATACAAGAGAGGATTCCTGGGTTCTCCTAAATCTCCTTTTCTTACAGATTAAAATTTCTACAGGAAAAAATGAGTGACAGATTACCTTTGGTCATGACGATTCCTGCCAGGGCTTTGTGGCGTGTGTGCACGGAGGTTAAGTTGACTGTTAACTCTTGGAACTTCTGTGTTACCAGCTGGTACATGGAGTCAGCAAATTCCTGAAAGACACAAGCACTAGGCCTCTGACTTGCTGAGCAGAAATAGAGAAGGGATAACCATCTCCCACCCCTTTCAGCTTCTCGAAGCAGTTCCCCATTGGTGGGGGGAAATATGGTCTGGAGGTTTGGTGGCAGTTCCTAGCAAGGGAAATGAATCCCTCCACATGAGTCTCAACATCACAACCCCTGCTCCATCATTATTGATCACATTCTTATCCTAAAGCCTTGGGAAAGAATGTCATGTTATTTTTAATTGATTGTGGGCTTGATTCTGAGGGATTAACCTCCAGTGTTGCCCTTTGGCAAATAACCTGATCTGTATGAGAGCAGATAACCTTTCCAAGGGACACCGTTTCCACTTTTGCTCTCTCCCTCCCTCCTTCTGATAGCAAGCTCTAAGGCTTCCTTCCTGGAGAACCTGTCTGTAGACTCCTGAAAGGAGAGAGGGAACTTGCAAACACTTTGTCACCATGGTCTTCTCACTATTGGGTTAATGTGCTGGACCGTAAGGTTGCTTTGAACTGCAAGGTCACTAGCTGCTCCTTGGAAACCCTATACAGGGTCACTATGGGTCAGAACCAACTTGATGGCACTTAATAGCAACAACAACAACAATTGCAGAACCATTATTAAAATATTCCACACATCTCAGGGTCCTCTTTTGGCCTGACTGCTCTCTGCTGTTCACCCAATCACCTCCTTCTCTCCTCACTGTGGTGTGTGCTGGACTCTCTCTCTCTCTTACACACACATGCACACACTCGTACACACATTCACACTTTCTCTCACACACTCACTCATATGATTGCACACATACATACACACATACCATATTCTGGAACACACATCATGTTACTGCATCCCAGTTGCTCAGTGATCCTAAAATGACTCTGCCACAGATGTAAAAACACAGAGGGTGTGACCCAGAGGGTGTGAACTAGTCATTCCTTTCCAGCTTCACCTGATTCCATTGCTAAGATTTTTCACTTTTCCATTTTGTTCCCTTTTAAGGAACTCTGGTGACACTATGGATTACATGTTGGGCTGCTAACTGCAAGGTCAGTGATTCAAACCTACCAGCCACTCTGAAGGACACTGATAAGGTGGACAACTTCTGTAACACTTTACAGTCTCGGAAACCGTAGGGAGCAGTTCTACTCTGTCCTATAGGATTGCTGTGGGTTGGAACTGATTCAACGGCAGTAGGTTTTTTTGGTTTGTTCCCTTGAATTAGGAGACGGCCTGGACTGTAGTGGTCATAGCTTTGTAGTCAGAGAAGCCTGATTTGAATCCTAGTTCTGCTGCTCGCTTGAGTAAATGAATCAAAACCTTTGAGCCCCATTTTCCTGCTTTCCAAAATAATCCTTTTAGTTTCTATCTGACACTATTAAATTAAAAAAATTTTTTTTAATGTTTTATTGTGAATTATGAGATAGTTTACATGGGAGAACATTAGTTTTACATTTATCCTATCGTATATCATTTCATTGCCATGGTTACAATCCCCTCCATGCATCATCAACCAAACAAAGGGTATACCCTGCAAGCCTGTGCACGGTTGTCAGCACACAGCCCCTCTCCCTCTCTGCTGACACTATTTTTTGTGAGTAACAGATTGATTAATGCAGTTTAAATGATTAACACAGAGGCTGGCACTTTTAGTAACTGTTCAAACACTGTAATTATTATTATTATTGCTATTTTTATTACTTTATTATTATCTCCCCCAGTCCCTTCTGTACCTGTAAGCTAAATATTTATGTAGACAAAACAAAACAGCAACTTATTCATAAGTTGGTGCAGGTAGTTCATTTGCGTTATGTAGTGGATTTTCCCTTTTTAACCAGGTATGGTTTGATATTGTATGGGCATTGACACTGATCAAGCAAACAAACAAACAAGCAAACAAACAAACAAATTATCAGATAAATATAGTCACCAGGTTAGTGCCAACTCACAGAGACCATATAGGGCAAAGTAGAACTGTGCCTTAGGGTTTCTGAGACTGTGAGTCTTTATAGGAATAGACAGACTCATCTTTCCCCTTCGGAGCAGCGGGTAGGTTTGAACTTCTGGCCATTTGATTAGCAACCCAAAACTTAACTCGCTGCACTACCATGACTCTTTTAATAAAGTGAGCATTTTTATTGGTGTGGCGCTGTGGGTTAATGCGCCAGACTGCAAAGCCTATTGAATTGCAAGGTCGGCTGTTCAAGCTCACCAGTCACTCCTCGGAAACCCTATACAGGATCGCTATGGGTCAGAACCCACTTGACAGCACTTAACAACAACAATAACATAGGCAATAAAACATGTTCATGAATAAGCATGCATCCAAATCTATGAAAACAGGAAACAAAACAAAACAACCTGTCATAAATATAGCAAAGACCCCTTTTTACTCCGCCCATCACCAATAACAAGTATAGATTCTGTGCAGTTGGGTGCAGCCCCCGAGGGTTGGGTGCAGCCTGTCCCCCATATGCTGCTTTGGCTGTGACCGTGAGTGCTCATTAGTTTTAAAACTGTGCTGTAAATAAATATGGAAAATCCAATAAATAATAAATGCCATATAAATTAGGCTTTCCCTTGGTGGGTGTAATGGGGCTGCAATATTCTCCCTTCCATAATTGTTCACGTTTTTCTGTTTCCAGTGGGTGGAGGGATGACTGTTTAGGAGGAACTGTGTAATGGTCTTGTGTGTGCTTGAGGGCTTTCCTGGCTCAGCACCCTAACTCATGAAGCTGTGACCTCCTGGGTGCTAGCCACAGAGCCACAGGATGTTTGTAATACACTTTAGTTGTTAGAGTAGTTTTAGATTTACAGAAAAAGTGTGTAAAACAGAGTTTCCATACACTCCCCTTTCCCTCATGGTCACAGTTTCTCCTATGATTAGCACATTATGTTACATTTGGGGAACTAATATTGACACATTACTGTTAACTAAAAGTCAACATTTATACGAGGGTCAGTTAAAAATTCTCAGCACTCTGGTTATATTAAAATGCTCGTCCACGTCCATGGCTGATGACAACATTGAGTGTGCACATGAAATGATTCTATCAAATAGATGAGTGACAGTAGATTATGTGGCAAATCATTTGCAAACCAGCCATGCCTCTGCCTATAAAACAACCCACAACAGACTTATGTTTTGAAAAATTTGTGCGAGATGGGCACCGAAACAACTCACGAAAAGTTGAACAACTCAGAAACGTTTGAACATCTGAAAACAAAATTTGTACAAATACTGATGCGATACTGGAAGGAAGATAAAAGTTTCTTTAAAAAATTATTTGTGACGAGACATGGATTCATCACTATAAGCCTATGAGTAAGCGGCAGAGTATGGAATGGAAACATCCATAATTGTCAACCAAGACAAAGTTCAAAAGTCAACCATCAGCTGGAAAATTGATGCTTACAGTTTTCTGGGGTTCTCAAGAGCCAGTATTGGAAAATTATCAGGAAAATAATAATCAACCATGCTCATTACAGTGAGATGCTCGCGGAGGAGCTGAAGCCTAAACTTCAGATTAAATGCAGAGGGCTGCTATCCCAGGGCATTGTGATCTTGCATGACAAAGCATGTCCTTACACCTCTGCCCACACTGTTAACTTCATTTTCAGGTGTTAAAGCATCCTCCCTGTAGGCCTGATCTTGCTTCATTGGACTTTCACCTGTTTGGTCCCCTGAAAGCAGCCCTTTGAGGACAAAGATTCACCTCTGATGAAGAAATGAAGACAGCAATGCATTTGTGGCTCAAAGCTCAGTCTAAAACATTTTGAAATAAGGGAATGTGAAAGCTTGTTGACAGATGGACAAAGTGTATTGAAAACAAGAAGATTGTGTTGAAAAATGATGTATTTGTCTTTTCTAAAAGTTTATTAAAATTAATTCTACAGCCAGAGTGCAGACCTCACCCTCATATTAAAGGTTCATCCTTGGGGTTGTATAGTTGAGTTGTGACAAATGCATGCCATGTGTCCATTCAGAACAGATACACTAGTCACAAAGCAATTTAGAGATGAATCCTAGAGAATGCGTGTCCTTTTATGACCTGGAAACTAAAGTTCTAAGGGGGCAAAGGACACATGTTCCTATAAGCACTAGATATTAGTTGCCTCTGACTGCTGTCATTATAAACTGAATGGGTTAAAAGGAGTCCTGATAGCACAGTTGGTTAAGCATTGGGTTGCTAAAATTCAAAACACTACTATAAGAAACCAAAAGAGACCTACAAAAATGGAAGATTATACCACGCTCATGCATAAGAAGACTAACATTGTGAAAATATCAGTACTACCCCAAATAATCTCTATATAATATAGTCCTGATCCAATTTCCAACATCAATCTTTAAAGAGATGGTAAAACTAAATCCAAGTTTATATGGGAAAGAAAAAGACCCTGGATAAGCCAAGCATTACTGAAGAGGAAGAACAAAGTAGGAGGTCTCTCACTTCCTGATCGTAAAACCTACTACATAGCTGCAGTAGTCAAAACAGCCTGGTACCGGGACAAGAAAAACATGTAGATCCATGGAACAGTATTGAGAATCCAGTAGTAAATCCACCCACCTATAGTTAGCTTAGTTAGCTGATCTTTGACAAAGGGCTTGTTGTTGTTGTTAGGCGCCATCGAGTCATTACAGACTCATTGTGATCCTATGCACAACAGAACAAAACCCTATGCACAACATGCCCAGTCCTGGGCCAATCTCACAATCATTGCTGCCACTGTGCCAATCCATCTCGTTGGGGGTCTTCCTATTTATTGCTGACCCTCCACTTTACCAAACATGATATCCTTCTCTAGGGACTGGTCCCTCCTGACAATATGTCCAAAGTATGAGAGACAAAGTTTGGCCATCCTGGCTTCCAAGGAGCACTCTGGTTGTACTTCTTCCAACACAAACCTGTTGGTTCTTTTGGTAGTCCATGGTACTTTTATTATTCTCCTCCAACACCATAACTCAAATGCATCAATTCTTCTATGGT